TTTGGGGACAGAGACAGAGCATGAACGGGGGAGGGTCAGAGAGAGGGAGACACAGAATCCGAAGTAGGCTCCAGGCTCCGAGCTGTCAGCACAGAGCCCGATGCGCGGCTCAAACTCATGAACTGTGAGATCACGACCTGAGCCAAAGTCAGATGCTTAACCGACTGAGCCACCCAGGTGCCCCAAAGTATCCAACTCTTGACTTCAGCTCATCATCCTTGACTTCACCCTGCATCGGGCTCTGCACTGACAATGGGATTCTCTCTCTCCTCTCTTGGCACCCCCTGCCTTTCTCTCGAGATTCATTAGTAAACTTTAAAAACAAAATTTTTTTAAGAAAGAAAAAATAAAGAGTAAAACGATAACAAAAAACACACACAGCCAGCATAAATAAATTGGTAATTAAAAAAATTATTGGTAATTTTTTTTGGTGTGCCAATGGTATTTGTGGACATGTTTTCAAAGACTTTTACCTTTCAGAAATATATACTGAAGTATTTATAAATAGACTGTAAGAGTTGTTTCAAAATAATCTTCTGTGTAAGTGGAATAAAGACTGGCCATACACTGATAATTGCAGAATCTTAGTAATGATACATGGGGGCGGGGGGGGTGGGCACGGAGAAGAAATATACTATTCTACGTATGAAACTTCCTATAGTGGAACAGTAAAAAAAAAAAAAAAAAAAAAAGTGGGGAGGGGGCGGGAGGTAGCCTATTCCTGCCCTCCCCTTCCTAGAAACTGCTGGGAGCACATGGGCAACTGCAGAGCAAAAGACAGGACAAGAGACAGGGGAGACAAGAGAAGTGGAGCAGGGCCCAAAGGGAAGAGTCATTCTAAGGCCGTCCCAGAGGGAAGAGGCTTACCCGGTTGCGAGGCAGGGTCCAGCCACACACAGCACACTCCTGGGCCAGCAAGCGGCGCAGGAAGGCCCGGTCCTGGCTGTGCCTCACAGCTTCCACCACATCGCCCAGCTCATAGTTCCTGGGTGTCTCCTGCAGCAGTGACAGTGCCAATTCTGCCCGACCCCAGCTGGGGAGCGCATAGACTGCCAAAAGCCGTCTGACCAGACTCTGCAAGGTGATTCAGGTGGAGAGGGAAGAAGTGGCTGTCAGGCCCCAGGAGTCCTACCCCTGGGCCTTTCCCCGGCTCCTCTAAGTGGATTCTTCACCTCCTCCCAGCACCTGCTTGTCTGGCCCATCCCAGGAAGGGGTGGGATCAGGGCCCTTGTCCCAGAGACGCTGATGGAAGGGCTCTAGGCGCTGGCGCTGTAGCTCAGTCAGGGCCCGTGCCACATCACCACCATGTTGGAACAATGCTTGAAGAGACCCCTCTTCAGGCCCAAAGCCCAGGGACCGGAGCTCCTGCACCTGAAAGTTGGGGGTAGAGAGGAGTGAAGAGGGAAATGGCAAGCAAGAGAGTGTGAGAGGCTCTGAGACCCACAACCCTGCCTGCCCTGTCAGCACAGCCGGTACCTTCCTGCGCCGGGCCCTCACACACTCTTCCACAGCTTCATCAAGATTGCCATGACGATCCAACCAGGCTTTCCGGGCTTCCTGACAGGAAAAGGCACCCAGGCCCGGGTCCTGCTGTGCAGCCAGCTCGGCCACCATCTCCAGCACGTAGGGCAGCTCTGAGCGCAACCACTGCAGGGGCACCTCAGTGCCTGAGTACTGTAGAGCCGAGAAAACCTCCTCTGGACAGGCACCTGCAGCTTCCCCTTCCTAAGGCACAGTCCCACCCAGACAGATGGCCCATCAGGAAGGGCACCTTCCACCCACCCTCAGCCCAAACCAAAATGCTGACAGTGGTTGAGTTCAGACATATGGATCACGTGAGCACCGCACAGCATACGGGCGGTGTTCAATAAGAGGCAGCTGCTGCTAATGACTAGGTTTACAAGAACTTGTATTAATCAACTGCAGCCCCTTCTTTCCCCCATTAGTTCAACCCTACCTCATCCCAGGCCCAAATCCTCACCCGGATCTTGATCACTAGTTGGAGACCTTCCTCACGCATCTTGTCTTGACGCTGCTTCTCAGGGTCCCCACAGGAACTGGGCAGGGGGGCACTGAGGCGTCGTGGAGGCCCTGGCTCAGGGAGTTGCTCTTCCAAAGAGCTGGCCTGGGGCTGAGGGGCGTGCGGTACTGGGATGGGGCTGCTGGTCCGATTGCACATAGCACACACCCAGCCAGGGCCAGAGTTGCAGAAGGTACAGTGGATACAGTACCAGACTGAACTCTGGGCAGAGGAGAGCAAAGTATCCCCCTGCTGGGAAGGCAAAAAGAATTATCCAACTGAAAGCTGGCTGAGGCTCAAGATGGAAATACAGACAGGTTTGGGAGGGGGGAGGGTGGAAGATTCAGAAGAACTGAAGGAAAACAGGAGATGAAGAGGTCGAGAATGGCCTGTGGTAACAGGTGCAAATAAAGAACGGGGACGGCTGGGAAGGCCAGGAACAGGTTACCTGAAGGGGCTGCAGGCAAATGCCAGTATCCCGAGAATCCACCACCAAGCTAGGAGGCTGAGCCAGCCGAGGTCGCTCACATATGGCACACAGCACAGCTGCCGCCTCATTCTCAAAGGTGCAGCTTTGGCAGGCCCACCGACCCCGTGCAAGTTCAGATTCTTGGCCCCCAGCTCCTTGGGAACCCTCCATTGTCAGCCCCAACCCCTTACAGCCTCGGGGCCGATCACAGGCCACACAGAGCACTGCCCAAGATTCATTTAGCATGGCACAGGCAGCACAGTGCCAGGGCAGACGGGCATTTGCAGTATCAGAGGAAGCTTTCAGGGGAAGCACGAGAGAGCTGTCTCCCAGGGCCAGCAAGGAGGCTGACTGAGGCCGTGGTGATGCTGAGGCAGGTAAGCTGTAACGAAAAAGCAGAGATGGTCTGCTGAGGGGGCCCTGGTGCCTGGGTCCCTTATTCCCAGGCATCCCTCGTTCTCTGTGTGACAATACAAGCCCTGTCCTTTGTGCATGTTGTTCTCTGTCTGGAATGCTCCATACCCATAGACTGCTCAACATTTAATTATATCTTAGGGGCACCTGGGTGGCTCAGTTGGTTGAGCCTCGGACTCTTGATTTTGGCTCACAGTCTGTGAGTTTGAGCACCATGTTGGGCTCTGTGTTGACAGCATGGAGCCTGCTTGAGATTGTCTCTTTCTCTCCCTCTCTCTCTGTCCCTCACCTGTTTGTGCTCTCTCAAAATAAATAAACTTAAAAAAAATTTTATCTTAAAGTTCACATCTTGTGATAGCTATCCCCCTAACATAGGGCCTGACCCACACTAGGTGCTTAAAATCCTACTGATTGAGCTGATCCTTTAGGCTAGGTTCCTCCTCTTCCTACCTATTTGCACAACATCTGGCTGTGACTGCTACTTGCTTCATATGTATGTCTGTGACCTCTTGCAAAGCAGTAACTAACTGCCTTCTATGAAGCAGCTTTTAGCAGAGAAACTGACACATAGTACATAAGTAATTCTAAGTTCTCTTAACTTCATTTCCACTCAGAAGAGAAGATCTCTTACCTGGGGGTCAGGCAGGTGGTCTGTGGGGCCCCAGGCAGGGTCTGGCGGAGGTGATGGGCACGGGATGGGTGTCCATGGAATAGACGATCACAAGCCGGGCACAAGGCCTGTTTACAAGTTGAACAGTGCAGGGTGCCTGGCGCAGAGCCACAAAGGAAGCAGGGACCAGGAGTGGAGCCTGGAGAACAGGAGAGGAAAAACTGAACATCCTTTTGAAAGAGACCAAGTTAATCTGAATTTGCTGAAGGGAACAAATTACAGACTACTATTCAACATATCCAGACCCAAGAAAACAATTTTAATCTCTTTTTAAAGGCAAAAAGGATAAACAGAAGAGGGCCCCAAATTTCCATCAATATGGTCTACTAAAAACTGCCCCCCACCTCCCATTACAGGATGAATAATACCTGGGGCAGAGGGCGTGTTGAGGGGGCCAGGAGCAATCTCTCTCAGCAAGGGGGCAAACTCGGAGAGCTTCAGTATCTGAGAAATAAAGGGCAGGGAATGGGCAAGAGTTTGGGGACACACAGTCCCACAACCCCATCCCCTTTGTTCATCAGGTCTTAAGAGCCCCATCCCTACCTTTTTTACATCATCTTCAACCTTTTCTTCCAGCAGCTGCTCCAGTGCTTGTTGTCTTGGGTGAGTATTCTGCAAACAAGGTAAGAAGAGTTCCCACCTAGAGCCCTAGGACAAGGTCCTCCCTCAAAGCCCTGGTCTCCCAACATCCACAGGAAGAAGAGTATGGGGAGTTTCCAGGTTGCTATGTGGACTATGCCCATGGTTCAGCAGCATGAGGGTCCGCAAGACTGCTTGTGGAGTTAGGCTGGGCTCCCCAGGCCTGGTGTTTAAGTCCTCAGGACTAGAGACATCTCAACATCTCACCTGTAACAACAGGCTGAGCTCTGTCCGAAGCAGCAGTACTTCCAGTGTGACTGTAGCAACTTGATGCTCATCTGGCTCCTTCTGCCCCTCAGGGAAACTCAACCCATCTGGCTGCTCCTCAGTGTACCCGTATAATCGCAGAACATCCCGGCCCCCCTACCACACATTCAAACCAGTCACCACCAGGCAGGCCCCCTTCCCACTAGGGCTGGAGCCCTCCCCATTAAGCACAGCGTCAAGCCCTTTCTTACCAACCCCCCAGCCCAGGCCAAGTCCCTTTCTCCCATAAGGGGCCCAGGGGCTTCACCTGAACAGCATCCACCGTACTGCGAAAGACAGGGTTATTAAACTTGACCCCGCGCCAGTACCGGGGCCGCTGAGGGCTGAGGAGGTTGCGGCCGTATTTCTCCAGGATGTTCAGGGCCGTGGACAGGGTGTTGAGGTAGTTTCGGGGCTGGGAGCAGTCAGAGAGCGGAGAGCTGTGAGCCCCGCCCAGGCCTCAAGTCCTACGTCCCCTTCCCGAGCGGGGGCCGGGCCTCACCTCCCCATGAGCATTGCAGCGGACCAGGCGTGCGGCGTCCAGCTGCAGGTAACGGGCTGCTGGCGGTAAAGACGTGACCAGTAGCGGCTGGAGTTGCTCCAGGGAAAACACCTGCCCGGAATCCTTCCTCAGGGCGCTCGCCAGCTCCTCGCGGGCCGCTAGGAAGGCCCTCTCCTCCTCCTCCCCCGGCATCCTGAGACAGGAGTCAGCCCCAGCCCCGCCGCCCGCCAGGACCTGGCGCAGGCTGTGCACTGCCTGAGCGCTGCCCCTCCCGCCCGGTGTCGGGCTTCGTGGCCTGACTAGGTCGACGAAGCCACCCCAGGTCACTCAGGCCACGGTCACTCTTCAGCCCCGGGCCCCGCTCCAGTGTTAGTCGGGAACAGGAAGTACTAGCAAAGAGGGCGGGATTGCAACCTGGTTTCAGGGGAAGGGGAGGGGTTTAAGTTTAGGACAGGCTGGGGTCAGGAAATCAGGGGGCGTGGGCAGGAGGGAAGTCAGGTCCCAGCCAATGAAAAGGGCAAATGGTCCCTGACTCCGCCCCCAGAGCATCTCGGCCTTAAATTCCAAACTAGCGCCCCTCCCCGCCTTCCTCTAGGCTGGTTCCGCCCCTTTCCGGGTAGCCCTAGGCGAGGGGTTACCTTATTTCCCTCAAAGCCTTTTCTATTTAGACCAGTCGGCTTTGCTCTGGTCCCCACCGGGAAAGCCCCACTCTGTAGGGACTCCACTCTGGCCGGTCTGGGCCCCACTCAAGCGAGTCCTGCCCTTTCTCCAGCCGCCCTTCAAGGCAGGGAACCCTCCCGGAGGAATCCCCCGAGACTGCTCCCTTCCATATCCTGCTATCCCTTTTCAGCCCCAGGCC